GAGCATATGGGTTCATCAAAATATAAAGAGATGTCATCATAACCGTCGCCTTCATATAAAGAGATGTCATCATAACCGTCGCCTTCCTTTAAATCGGGGTGAGATTTCTTTGAACGTTTACGAATCCGTGCGTTATCGTCGTCAGAGTCTTGGCGCAAATCCATCGAATTTTTCTTGGGTTGGCAATTTGGGATGGCCTTGTTCCTAGAAAAGTTTCACATAAAATGATCAGCAAATGATACAAATCAAACACAGGTTGATTGAAGAGTCAGCCTCACCTTATTTTGATTCGTATAACCGGACGCATTGGTAACAGAGGACGCAGTCGAATCAGGTTTTGGTTTTGATCTCTAAGGTAGATCACATCGAAAAAGTGGATTATAAGATGATAAATATGATGATGAGATCTTGAGAATAGAAGAGAATGAAATCACTGACAGTCTTTCCTTTGAGTTTTGATCCTGACGCGCGGATAACAGAAGAAGCAGTGGAAACGGAGGTCGGTTTCTAAATGATTGTAGCAAAGAAGAGGAAGTAGATTCGATGATTAAGAAGATGATAACTATGATTAGAATTGCTTCAAACCGCTCACCGTAGATCCTTTCGGTTTAGCAATACCCGATCTCTGCTGACTGGTGGGCTTGGCCTGATTGACAGTCTTGGACATTTGGCCCTGGGTTGGGACATTGAGACCGCCAACTACGTCACAATCGGATCTAGAAGTCGAACGAGCTCGTTTGAGGCCACTGGATGATGGTGGTTGGGAAGAGGGATTAAAGAGACCGCGGCGGCTATCCTGGGATGGTTGGATCATCCCTGGATCCAATCGGAGCGGGGTGGAGATCCGAGAAGTTCGACGAGGTTGACTTTGAGTGTCATCGGTGTCGTATCCAGAACACCGACTCATGTTGAAGGAATCGAGTCGAGAAGTGGGACAAACCAAGGGCAATAGCTGAATAGGGGTAATCAACGTGGTAAGGTTGAGAATACGAGTAAGTTCATAGAACTGAAACTAAGCAAATAGTTGGAAAGAAAACGAGTAAGGGGTAAGAAGGAAGGGGGTTGACATAAATCAATAAGAGGATTAAAGGATGTAGAGTAGGATTCATCTGGAGTTGGGACCACTCACGTTAGAAGTTGGGGTTACGAAATTCAAAACAATTGGCCATCCGATTCCGATTCCTTGGGGGTTAGTTGTTGGTCTGGTGACATGATGATGCAGCCAATCGGCCACATCGTCATCATCCATAATGTCGATGAGGCTGAGGAGGTGACCTATCGATAAGTTGGGATTGAATCAGATTGGAAAATCTAGCTGACCTATCAGATTGGTTGGGTCAGCTTGAGGATCCATCCGATAACGGATATTACAGGTGACAGTATGTGTAACGTACCTAGTTCGGATAACCAACCTGTCACATGGCTGTTAGCGTATCTACTCCAAAAAAAAATTTGTGACAGAACTTGTTAACGCA